GCCTTGTTGGGTCTCATGGAGGCATTTCCTCAACTGACGCTTCTTTCTCTCTGTTGACTCTAGCTTGTGTCAAGTTGACAAACAAAACCAGTCAGTAAAACTGACCCCTTGTCAACCTGACACACAAACACATCTCTATTAAGCCACAACCTTTCCTTTCTGATTCATCTCCAAGATCTCACATTAAAAACAGATAGCTTTAAAGGCCCCCAGAGTCTTCATAAATTCAAACACATTAAAATTTCTGGGTTTTTTTTTTTAAATATCCAAAGTCTTTTAAAATTAAAGATCTCTTCATTATGGGCTCCAGTAAAATACTATGTTGCTTCAAGAGTATGAAATTTGCTTCTTTTATTTTGCTTTTACAAGGGTTCACAGCTAAGAAATTGCCTTGAGTCTCAGAAGAGACTTTGAACTTTGGAAATTTACACACTGTTGAGACTGTGGTAGACCCTGGGGACTTCTGAAGTCGGACTAAATGACTCTTTCACAGTATTTATGCCGTTTATATTTTTTTAACTATTCTTGAGATACATGAGTGATTTTTTTTTATCTTTTAGAAGTTGCTAGGTGAGTTTTTATAGAATTAAGGAAAACATTTAGTTTTTCTCTTGCTCCTTACACGTTATTCTCCAATTTTATGACAAACGTTACCCGTTTTAATATTCTTATTTTTTTTAGCATCTCCATATGACAGAATGTCATTTATGTCACCTACACTGGTTTTAATTACACAATTCAATGGCTCAGCACTCCCAGTGCTAACATTTAAACTGTGTGCCATTACTTGTTTTCAAAACAAGTATCCAGAAAGTTTTACTTATACACCCAACTGGAACCAGTATGTGCATTTGCTCACACTTGTTTGTGTCTGCCTCCTGGGTTGCTGGTTCTTGCTCTCATTCTGATGAATGCTTATTTTAATGAGTTCTTTATCAATATCCCAACATAATACTGTGTTCTGCAATTTCTGGACCGTGTTTTTCTTCAAATATGCTCCCTGGATTTTATCTGAACCTTTTGCACAGTAGAAAATATAACAGATTAATTATTTAATCTAAAAATGCAATCGAGCCTATCAGGTACATGCTTTCACAATCCGTCTCTGCATGGAGCAGTTTCCTGGAGGTTTTCCAAAAGAAAAGAAGTAAGCAGAGTGGAGGTATGCAGACACAAGAAGCAGTGTCGTGTCAGGAGGGTTCCAGTGTGTCCTACCGAGAGCTCTGCTGGAGGAGAAATCAGCACCCTAAGAACAAAGAGAGGACCACCCTACGTAGCAGGGCCATGTAAAGGCCACAGTTAGTGATACATCACTTTCATTTGTTTTCTTTTTTCTAAAACCACGCTTTTCCTTTCCCCTCACCTTGCACACCACGTTCCCTTAGCAGATTAGAATTTAGGATGAGGGGCTGGAGAGATGGCTCAGTGGTTAAGAGTACTGACTGCTCTTTCAGAGGTCCTGAGTTCAAATCCCAGCAACCACATGGTGGCTCACAACCATTCATAATGAGATTTGATGCCATCTTCTGGTGTGTCCGAAGACAGCTACAGTGTACTCATAAGTAAAATAAATAAATCTTTTTTTTTTAAAAAAAAAAAAAAGAATTTAGGGTGAGAGAAAAGAAAATAAACTTTACCTGTCTTCCCTTCGTAACAGCCCCAGCTCTCTTGAGACCACACCCAGGCTCACTGCAGGGATCTTCCCTTCTCACCTGTTGTGCCCACAGCACAGGCTACATAACTAGATGGAAAGAAAGGACAGACTGGAAGCTTGAGGGGTGGCACATGACTATAGAGATGCAGACGGCCATGTGGGAAATCCTCACTCTGACTCCAACTTACATATTTCACTCAGTTTGGACCTTGTGGAGAACATTCCCAAGAGAACATTGAAAGGGCAGCTGGTGAAAAACGATCATGGGGAATTCTCCCCCTCACAAGATATGCTCTTCAGAAACTAGGGCTGGGGTGGGGACCATCATGTGGGTAGGGTGTGAGGAGTAGTAATGAAGGAAATCAGATGGCACAGGTGATCTACGGGGGAAATGGGAAATACGGGGGGGGGTCTAATTAGGGAGGAAGGAGGAAAGGCATACAGAAGAAGGAGAAGGAGGGTAACATAAGTGTTAAGTGTGCTTGAAAATCTCTTAAAGAACTATACTATTAATGATTGGTCTAAAAATTCATGTAACTCGGTGTATAAATGCACATATAGTTTTTTTAAACTAAGTTTTTAAAAAGATTTACTTATTTATATTTATGAGTACACTGTAGCTGTCTTCAGACACACCAGAAGAGGGCATTGGATCCCATTACAGATGCTTGTGAGCCACCATGTGGTTGCTGGGAATTGAACTCATGACCTCCAGAAGAGCTGTCAGTGCTCTTAACTGTTGAGCCGTCTCTCCAGTCCTGCACATACACAGTTTAAATGAAAGCTTCCGACACCTCTCCCCAAAAGCCATAGACTATTTAACAAAAAGTCCAACACCAGTCATGAGAAACTCTCTTTTGACTTGTTGATCGGGGTCGTCCAAGAGACTCCCAAAACATCATAGGCTCTTGCTGTTGTCTTTGGTTTCTCCCAGAGAATTGGAGGGTCAGTCTCTATTGCTGAAGACAACATACATTTCAGATGCAAGGCTTAGAGACCCCTGAGCTAGAACTGACCTGAAAGCCTTTTCCCTGAGGACAAGCTTTCATGGTATGGAAGTGCCATGCAAGCTTCAGTCCTACGTAGGACTGTGGTACCTAGTAAACACAATGAGCAAGATTATCCTAACTACAGCAGAGGCATCCATAACTTGGCAGTCACCAATGTCTGTCTAATTGGACTCACGACCCACTCTACTGGACAGAATCATGACTCATACTAGAAACCTGTAGTCCTTGTCCCACATCAAGAAAACTTTTCTTCGCAACAGACAGAGAACATCACAGAAAACCACAACCAACTAAAATAAAACGCAAGGGTGGAGCCCAGTCCCTACCGACATCTACAACACAACTCTTGCTCCGAAGCTCCAGGTTTATCATTTTGGAAGAGTAGGCAGGAAGATTGTAAGATGCAAATCTACAGAGAGTTTGCTGTGAGATTGCATCTTCTAGAAATGTCAGACGCTACTCCCACAGAGGCTGACGAACATGATTACCTAAGTATGAGTCGAACAAAGACAAAAACAATAGACAAAGTGGATGGGGGAAGTCCCATGAGGCCTCAACCCCAGACAAAGAACCTCAGTCATGTAAGGAGTGCTGAGACCAGAAGGAATCGTTTTCCTCAGGGAAGAGCATACTGGTTGCTTATCCAATGCTAAGTGCTCAGCACCAGAAATACATACATACTAGGAACAATATATAGTCTGAACAGGTTGTATTAGTGTATTTAGGGACATGTATATAATAACAATTAATGAATAAATAGGCCATGTAATTGAAAGAGAACAAGAGAGGTATATGAGAAGCCTTGGAGGCAGGAAAGGGAAGTGAGACATGAGGTAATTATATCATAGTCTCAGAAAAATCATTTATAAGACAGATCAATGGAATTAAAAAGAATAGAAAGTAGAAACCAAAATTCCAGGAAAAAATGTATTTAAAACACTATGCTATTGTTACACATACAGCTTGCCACCTAAATCTTACTTATCTATAGGTATATGAAAATAAGCATAATGGTTATATATAAAAAGCAAGCAAACAAACAAACAAACAAAACAGGTTGAGCAAACCATAGGAGCATGCCAGTAAGGCCAGTAAGCAGTGCTCCACAGCCTCTGCTTCAGTTCCTGTCTCTAGGTGGCTACTAGACTTTTGGTTTTCACATCCTTCATCATAGATTGTAAGGTAAAATAGGAAATAAACCCTTTCCTTCTCCCAGTTCATTTGTATGTGCTCGCATGCTCTCTCTCTCTCTCTGTCTCTCTCTCTCTCTGTCTCTGTCTCTCTCTCTCTCTGCCTCTCTCTCTGCCTCTCTCTCTCTCTTCCTATCTACCTCTCTTCTACAAGTAGATGTCATGATGAGAACCTGAGAAGGAATCAGCCAGCATTCTTTCTTGCATTCCCTATACTCATTCCTGTGCTCATTCACAACAGTAGAGTCTCCACTCCTGTTCAGACATCTCTACCTCTCTCCTCACCCTCCAGGGAGCAGATCTTTACTTCCCTCTCCACTACACATGCAAACATTCTAGAAAGGTGTTGCTGTTCACCCTCCAGCTAAAACCACAACAAAACATACTGGACTGTTGACATCAAGGTTCGTAGAATTCACTGAACATGTAACAAAGTGATGGTGTCTGGGTTGAGCCAACATCAAGTGTCAAAGAGCATTGGACACATGTCAGTAATAAGGATTATAAATTTCAGGTTTGTATTCAATGTTGGACTCTCTCTTTTTATCTACTTATTTTTATGAGTTCAATCTTCCGTGTTCAGGACTAAAATAAAGGTCCTACTACTGTTAAATGAAGACTCTGTCAGTGAGATCCTCTAGAGGCTGTTCAAACTTCATTCCTTTGGATACTCCTTACTGCCATCTCTCCCTGGGCCCTTCCACCCCTGTGTGCACTCATTTGCAAATAGAAGCTCTGTGCATGAGGGCTGTTCTGAGATCACAAGCTCAGAGTTGTATCTGTGACCGATTTCAGTGATGTCGTCTTAGAAGAGATACTATGCTGGAGAATGAAGGCTTCATCAAGTCCTGAAGACCTCTGCAGCCAGAAGTCTTCTCTCCACTCTGAACTGAGATGTGTTCAGGAAGTAGAGAGGTCACTGTTGGATGTCCTCAAGGTAAAAAGGAAGATTTATAAGAATGCTCTCATGTTATGTCCTTGGAGAGGTCCAGGGAACAGTACCAAGACTCCTACTGAGCAGAGAGAAGGAAGCTACATTTGCTGATAAGAAATGTCATTTGCCTTCAAACCTGCAGCAAAGCCAGACATGGAAATATATAAAGGAGAACTTCAGCTCAGCTCTCAGTCAAGACCCTTCCTGGCAAGATGAGTCCCACCAGCTTCTTCCTCCTTACATTGCTCCTCGTTCTGGTGACAACTGCAAGGGGGGCCCGTGGTGAGTGACAATTTTGTTCTATTGGGAAAGATGTTTGAGAGCAATGCTCTCAAAAGAGTCTGCCCAGAGTCTGCAGAAAGCTATCTTCCTAGGGCTTCTGTCCCTGAAGGAAACTGAGTCTTTTCAAGCCTTAACCATAACCCTACTCTGAATATCTGTGACTTGACAAGCAAAATGTTGGTAAGGAGGGCTGAGGGGGAATGTTGGCATCTGCATCAGGTAGCATCCTCATCATCAGGTGTCAAGGGCTGTGTGACAAATAGATCACTGCAGTTTCTAACTAGGCTAAAAAGTCAATGGCTTTATAAACAACAGGACAGCAACAGGGTACATCCAAACACAGGTCCACAACCAGAGCTGCAGCGCAGGCTCTTGACAGAGTCCTGACGCACAACTGAGCCAGAGCACACAGAAAGACGGACATAAAGAATGAGACATGCTTTTCTCTCAACAGAAAAATTCTCTCAATCAGCTGAAGACCCTTCTAGTAAAAGCCTGGGTCTAAAGTTTCGGGGGAGCAGCGGGGGATCAGGTTCTTCCTTCGAAGAATACAGCCGAAGTGAGGACTCTTGGAGTAACTATAAATCAAAACAACCAAGCCGGGTCACCACCAGTGAGGAGAGCAGTAGCGAAATGAGTAGTTCTAGCAGCCGTTTTGGTCTCAAAATGAGAGGATCTCAAGGAGAAGAAGGAATGAGCTCCTTTAAAACCAAAGTAAAGAGCCGGATAAGTGACAAATAATCTGTTCCCTGATCAACTGAAGACTAGAGCCAATATGCAGGTAAGTGTATCACCAGGAGAGGGTTTAGAAGCTAGGCATGCCTACTCCCTGGGCCATTGTGGGGTTGAGTTGCTGTGAGGAGAGGCGGGGAAAGCACCTGGCAGAGCAGAGCAAAGGTACCCTAGCTGTGACTCTGTCCTGAGTCCCTAGCCTCAGAGTGTCTCATCTATAGTTTTCTGTACAATCTAACAAGTGACAAAATCAAGCATGTAGCACCTGGGCAAAGCATATGTGCAAGAATCTAACTAGAATCTTGTGGCTTCTTGTGTTATGCTTGGTGAGAGTTCATGTTTACCGTAGTACAAAATATTGTGGTCCATGCAATCTCCTCATGTGTACAAAGCCCTGTTAGAAGCAATGATCTCTTCCCAAGGCCAAAGCTCTGAGAATTACCTTTCTCCTCCCATTCAACAAAAGAAAGAGAAATGTTTCTGCTTGTGACACATCAGAGATGAAATAGAGCAATGGCCTGCTGTAAAAGGAGCCACAGAGGCATAGAACCCACACCAAATAATCGCTCTACTCTTCCCTGTCCTATCTCACAGGTTGTCCTCATTCCCTAGGTGTCACTGAACTAAGACAAGTCTATGATGTCTTCAGGATTCAGGCTCTCATGGGGCCTAGAAACAGCCTGTGCTTCTCACCTTCCTCCTCATGATTGTTTTCCTAAAGATTCCTAAACCTGACAATATTCAAATTCAATCTTGTCAATAAAAAAGATACTATTCTGCATCATTATCTCCTGAAATCTCTTGCTTCTGCAGCACAGGGGCTGGGTGGGATTCATAAAGTTACCAGTTATGCAATTAAAGGAAGTGTCCTTATTGTGCCGGTAAGGGTGAACTGCATTCAGAGACACATTTCCTAGACTCTGGACAGAAACTCATCATTCAATAGAAGGCACGGTAACTCTGCCAGTCGCTGTGTGTACCACTAATCCTAAGCCCTGTTTGATCCTCTTCTTAGTTAGGCTTCAAACTGGTAGCCTAGGAAATGCCAGGGAAGACATGTTCCTATAGACCATGGCAAATACCTCGTCTACCAACGCCGCCAGGTCCACCAGACCACCGTAGCACAACATGATATAGAGTCCTTTAAGATTCAGTTTCCTTAACTGCAGTAGGTCAAGTACCTACCACTGGTATAATGAGTCAGTGCTAAGCAATGTCACCTGGGAAGAAACACACCAGAGGTCCAGCTATGGTGGGAGAGAGGGATGTCTTCAAAGCACAAAACCTGATGCCCATATACCACTCTTTGAGTATCTAAGGGCCCCCCTTGCGGCTGCTTCTGTCACCAGAACGAGGAGCAATGTAAGGAGGAAGAAGCTGGTGGGACTCATCTTGCCAGGAAGGGTCTTGACTGAGAGCTGAGCTGAGATTCTCCTTTATATATTTCCATGACTGGCCTTGCTGCAGGTTTGAAGGCAAACTACCTTTCTTCTCAGCAGATAGGCCCACACACATGGAGACAAGCCAGATCACCAGCCACAGCCAAATAAGGACTTGTTTACTCCTAAGAGTCCTCGCCAACAGGTGGCAGAAGGTGGAGGCCAGCAGCTCTCCACAGGAAGTAAAGATCTGCTCCCTGGAGGGTGAGGAGAGAGGTAGAGATGTCTGAACAGGAGTGGAGACTCTACTGTTGTGAATGAGCACAGGAATGAGTATAGGGAATGCAAGAAAGAATGCTGGCTGATTCCTCCTCAGGTTCTCATCATGACATCTACCTGCAGAATAGTGTGTGTGTATGTGTGTGTGTGTGTGTGTGTGTGTGTGTGTGTGTGAGAGAGAGAGAGAGAGAGAGAGAGAGAGAGAGAGAGAGAGAAAACTGGGGAGAAAAATGGTTTATTTCCTATTTTACCTTACAATCTATAATGAAGGATGTGAGAACAGAAACTCTAGTAGCCATCCAGAGACAGGCACTGAAGCAGAAGCCGTGGAGGTACACTGCTTACACTTGCTCCCATGGCTTCGTCCGTCTGCTTTTTTGTTCGTTAGTTTTTGTCCATGTAACACCATGATTATTTAAATATACCTAAAGAGAGGTGAAAAGTAGGTAGCAGGCTATATTTCCAACAGTAACATGTGCATAAGTAAAACATCTCTTTGTATTTCTCCTGTAATGTTGGTTTCTATAGACTGTACTTAATAGTAAATATTAAATAGTCCTTAATACACAAATAGAACTTTTATGTACATTTTCAGGGCTGACTATTTAAAATTGCATAACCAGTTGGTGTGCTCTTTCCTAGGGAAGAATGTCTCTAGCCTCAGCACACTTAATAGCTGTTGGCTCTTGGTATAGGCCTGAGGCTTCCTTGATTTTCCTCCTTCCAAATTAATGTTTATTGTCATTGTCTTTGTTAAGTTTATCTTTAGGCAGCCATGTTGGTGGGGCTTTATGAGTGTAACTTCTGACATTACTAGGAGACATAGTCTCACAGCAAAGTCCCTGATTCTCCAGTTCTTACAATCCTTTTGCCCCTCTTCCACAATGTTTTCTGAATCTTAGATGTGAGAATTAGTTTTTAGGTGCACCCATTGGCTGGGCTCCACAACTGTGCATTTTGATTGGTTGTGATTTTCTGTGATGGTCTCGATATATTGCAAAGAGAAGTTTCCTTGCTATGGGGTGAGGACTACATACTGGACTTAAGGACGAATATTTATAATGTAGTTGGAGATTACACTGGTTTAATAAAGTGGCAGTTATACATTCTCCAAGATCCATGACTTCACTAGTCCTGGGGAGTTGGCTGGGTTTCCAGTAGCAGGCATGGTTTCCTTCTATTTGAGTGGTTTTCAAGGCCAATTAGAAAACTGTTGGTTACCACCAAGGTATGTGTGCCACTACACAGCCTTAGGATTCTCCTGTCATGCTGGCAGTTGTGGTTCATAGGCATCATAGCTGGGTCCAACTGTTGGTTGCTTCCCTCCTTAGGAAATTTGCATGTCGCTTTTGTTATCATGAAAGGTAGTCCTCAGAGAGGAGGCATTCAGGTCAGTTCCAGCTCAGGAGAGACAGCAGAGAGACTTGTGTGTATTATAGAGATTTTTACGGGGTTGACAGCTAATAGTAGCATAATTCCTTATGATTTTTATGACTTTTTCAGATATCTTTGTCTTACCCCCTACTTCTTTTTCTATATTTCTTTCCCTCCCTACTCCCTAATTAGAGGCCCCCTCTTTTTGTCCCTTTTAACCAAAATATCCCCTCCTGTATTTTCTTTAAGTTGGTTTGCTGGATCTAATTTTTTTAGGCTGTTTATATCTTGGAATGTTTTCTTTCTCTTCAATTATGGCAGATAGTTTTGTTGGGTATATTTCTAGGCTTGTATCTTACAAAACCTACTTTAATAAGTGTACTTAACTGTTTTAACCTTCCTTCTAGCCAACCACCCACCAGAGTTAGTGGAAAGGAAAGGTTAATAGGGCAAAGGAGGATATGGACCTGTTTAGAAGTAGTTCTTTGGGGATGATTCCAGTCTTTATTGTCAGGGCAGCAGCGGTTCAGCACACATAAATCAGTAGCAATAGCTCCATCTACTTGAAATCACCATTCATGAATCAGCAATGGCAGTTTGATCCAGAAGAAACCCAAGGCTTTGTGAATCCTCCTGAGTCTGGAGAAGTGGCAAGAAGCCACTAAAACACCACCAGAAGTTCTTTGATGCGTTTCTCTCCATGAAGTCACAAAAAAATGATGATCATCGAAGAAGGTAAGGCAAACCAATGCCATAGCATCAGCAAAGACCAGCATCAACAGAGCTCAACAAAGACCAGCAGAGTGACAAGGTGAATCAATACCACACAGCCCTGACCACTGTCTGTTGGGTTATATTTAAACCCTTTCCAAACATCACGTGTTCTCTCAAGCATCTGTTCCCGCAAAACATCACATGCCCTTTTTCCAGGTGGCTTCCAGAAAATACCACGTGTCTGTTCTCAGCAAAACATCCTCCCACATGTCTGCTTCAGCAAAAACATCCTCTTATGAGACAATTTCTAGGAAAACATCACATGACACAACTGAGTCTCCAAAGAAACCAAACATTTCCACTTCATGTATTAGTCTAGGTTGCCCATTGTAGTCATTTAAGACTTGGAATGCATTGCTTTAGGATCTTCTGCCCTTCAACATTCCCATTGAGAAATCAACTGTTATTCTGATGACTGTTCATTTACATGTGACTTTTGTCTTCTCTTTCAATGCACTTTCTGTGTTATGTATACCCTATGTTTTAGCTATTTTATGCTATGGAAATTTTATTTTCTGGTCTTGTCTATTTGGTGTTGTGTGCTTTTTGTGTCTATAGGGATGTGCCATTCTTTAGCTTAGGGAAGTTTTCTTCTATGATCTTGTTGAAGATTCAGTTTGTGCCATTGACAAGATTCTTCTCCCTCCCTCATCTGTGCCTATAATTGGAAGATTTTTTTAAAAAAGATATCTCATATTTCCTGTATGTTCTTTTCCTGTTTGTTTGGTTGGTTGGTTGGTTGGTTTGTTGGTTGGTTTTATTCATATTCCTTGCTTCTTTGGTCTAGATCTTCTACTTTGTCACTGAGTGCTGGTATTCTGTTTTCTGCTTGATTCGTTCTGCTTGTAAGGCTTTTCTTTGAGTTTTCTAGCTGAAATATTTGGATTTATCAATTCCTTCCTCATTTCAGCTTCGTTCATCTTCAATGTTTCTATCTCCTGATTGAATTCTGAGCAGAGGCCTAGTAGTAGGCTGTGGCACAGGCAGGGATGGACTGGCAAAGCTGTGGCACTGGATGTGAGACCCTAGCTAGATCAGGTGGGCTGGAAAGAAGGTATAGAAGTCAGGACGTTCAGGGAGACTCACCAAGATAGATCCTGGAAAGGAATATGGAAAATATGGCTGGTGGCTCATGCTTTATTTTTAATTCACTGGATTTTCCCCATTGTATTAGTCAGGATTCTCTAGAGTTACAGAACTTAT